GTGACTTGGTGGGACAGGGTGATGAATAAATGTCCACACCCACCTGCGAAGGTTCGGCAGCGTCCTGTAACCAGGGGACAGTTTTCCTGAGGAAAGAAAGAATATAAAAAGAGAGCTATCGGTATCCAGGAAAAAGTAAAATATGATTCTGTCGGTTCATGTCATCTTCTGAGGACAGATGATATGAAAGGCGGCCTCCAACACAGAAAGACACATGGACCAAGTGAGGAAATATTCTCAAAACTAAAAGGCACATGTGAGAATTACAATCTGACAGATGGTAATGATGAGGTGGATTTTTAGATGTTTCACCTACTGAAGGCAGAGCAACGTTGGGCAGATTGTCTGCTGCTGGTAACAACTTATTTTTAAACCTCAGCAGCTCCTGAATGTCAGTTTGTTGTTCCGCTTTCTCTTCATATCTTGTGTTTAACACTTGAAAAGTGTTTTCGACATTTTGTCAAACACCATTGACATACATTATTAGCAACATCTCACAGTCTGACTCTACATTTTCCAAATGTATGATTTGTTGATCACATTACATTATGCTTTCTGCATATATTTAATAGAAATAATGATTTAGCCCATGGTGAGTGTCCGATGACATCAGGTCGTACATCAATTATTGGAGTGTTTGTCTTCAGTTGTCTTGAGATGTGATGAATCAGATGATGAAATGCAAACTCCAAACACTTCCCCAGGTGCATTGGCTCTTCTGTTGATACTGTGTTCACACATTCAGTCCTAAAATTAAAGTGCCACACGTTGCAGGCACGAACACGTGCACAATCCTACATGCACACTGAACGGCATTTTGTTGTTGTCCAGGAATGTTCAAAAAGCTTTACATTAAAAAATACAGCAAAAGAAAAAACAATAAGAAAATCAAGCAGAATTTGCTTTAAAATAGGAAGACAATAACGTGAACCAGTATTGATATTGATGTTTCTGGGACCTGTATGCACAGATGACTCCTGTCAGTGGAGTGCTGCTGCCACCATGTGTTTAATGGGAGGCTGTGCATGTAGAAAGGGGCCACATGTGCAAACAAAATCAGATTCGTCAAATAATAGTTAGAACCTGGTGACCTGACTGTGACCATTTGTCAGGAAAAGTCTTTGTTTAGTGGATAATTCCTACATGCAAACACACCCTGTTTTTCCCGAACAGTTTTAACAAAAGAGTGATTTTCTTTCAGAAGTTCTTAGATTCTTAAATGCCAAATAGTTACGAAAGAAGCAACAAAACCCTTTATTTAACCGAACGTTTATAAAAGTGGATGTGAGCAAAACTTTTCCTTCCAGGGATTTATAAAGTAGTTCAGGTAAAAACAAGCTCACCTGTCAGCATTAACCCCTGCAGACTGGCTTCCGGTAATCTTGATTAGAGCAGGATTCTGCCCTGGGATGTGTGTGGTAATTCTCAGTCCATTCAGTCAGTGTTTTGCACAAACATCTTTGAGGGCCTCCAGCACATCCACAAATCTGTGCTGGCCCGCAGCATCCAGACATCTCCACACCAAAGATCTTACACATGGAAACTCACCACAGTGGCCCCTGAGATGCTGCGCAGACCGTGGCGACGCGAGGGATGCTGGTGTAATGTGGTATATTTACCGCTACTTCGCTGTCCTTGTCCCGCCCTACGCCGAATCAAGGCCCACACTCGCAGGGAAAATGCTGAGTTAGAGGAAGGTCTTCCCAAGTGTATCATTTATTTTTCAGTGCTGGCACACTGTTGCTGCCGGCTACATAAATAAAGTATGTCTAGAGACTGCTTGAGCTCAATTGCAAAAACGAATACGAATGTCTTTATGGGGGGATGTTAAGCTATAAGCTGTAACTGTGGGGCATTGGACCTTGTGCACACATCACTTACTGTACCGGGCGGGAGCAGCATACTTCAACCAGAAGCATCAAGTCAAAGATTTTGCAGAAGCTGTGCTCAATGCCACAAATATTGTTCCTGTCAAACCAGGGAAAGTGTTTGGTATCGCTCCCAGACGTCTCTGGTGCTCTCTAAACCGTCCTTTTCACTACGCGGCAGAAGCAAATGCATTTTCATGAGGAAGTTGATCTTAACGTTGACACACACACACACACATGCAGGCATCCATGCTGCCAGCTAGGGTTATCGTTTCAAACGAGATTAAGTAAGCGATGGTGGAGCTTTCTGCTCTGGGGACTCTGGGTGGTATGGAAGCCACACATGCACATGCACAGAGCTCTCACGTGTGTGCCTGTATGTTTGCGTGGTGTGTGTGTGTGTGTGTTTGTGTGTGTGTGTGTGTGTGTGTGTGTAGCGATGGTACATGAGCATGTGAGTTGTGAATAAGAGACCATATACATGAGAAAAAGTGTGCCACCAGCTATTCGTGTTGTGCTATTCTGAAAGCAGAATAGAAAGCATCAAAGCATCAAATATGTATTTCCAAGAAATAAAATATAAAGATTTTTCAAAATAAAGCATTCCCAGCTTTAATGAGGATTTGCTGAACCCCAAAAGTAGCTATTGGCACAAGTAAAAAATTTAAAAAAGTTGTGAGAACATCTTTCAGATGTTTACTTACTCATATAAGATGACAAGCTTGTCAGGCGAGAAAGGAAATAGGATGTGTACCGTAGTCATTGGCTGTGCTGAATATATTCCGCATGACCTGACCTAGAAGTGCAGCTGTATTGCTGTTGGGCTTTCATCCAGTCAAGGTTTTTCTGTCGGTGCAGTTAGATCTTTGAGTCATAATAATGAGACACTGCTCGTCTCTGACTTCATTATGCAACAGCAGTTGGAGAGCAATGCCGACACAAACCAATTTGCATGTGTAAAAAAATGGACTGACACAACATCTTGCACATCGTATGCTGGCCATCAACAAAAAAAAAGGGACGCACTGAGTCAGGTCGCTAGTGTTGCCTGGCAACCGTCTGAGTACTATCAAGTGCTTCTTTTATTTAAATTGTGATGAAAAAAAGGTTATGCCTGCAGTCAAGCCATGTAAACACTCTCCTGATGGACCACGTAATAGACATCCTATTGTATTAATAGTGTCTACTAAATGAGAGCATCCGATTTGCCATAAACACTTCCTTGTAGTGAGACAACTTTCTTTTTCTCGACTTTTCATTTGCCAAATTGTGACGTTGAAGTTTCCCAATTAATTCACATTATGAAACCTTCTTTCATTATCAAAAATGTTTAAACAAATTACCTGACAAGAATTTGGTAAGATGAAGCACTTTGATTGATTAGGACAGATATATTCGGGACATACGATGGATGGATCCCTTAAAATCTGAAAAACAGCAATTATGTTAAATACAGCAGCCACATTTTTAAACAGTACACGGTGCAAAATAATGAAAGGTTGGAGCGTTGATAAGCCACGACATTTTTCTAAACGCACGCATAAACACAACGTGTCAGCATACTGAGAGGCTGAGAAACTGAGACCAACATAAATATGTTCACAAAAGTGAAAGCTCATTAAATCAGCTAATCTCATACGTCCCACTATGTTTACCCGAGCACATGCAGATTTGGCTTGGTAGAAAAGCATTAGAAAAGCAGTGTTTTACAAGGTTGATGAAGCTGAAGCTGTCTCTCTTTAACTGTTTTGTCTCGTTAACGTCTCATTGGTGAGACAAGGCAGACAGGAGGACAGACGGCACGATAAATGATGCTATGACTGTCTTCAACATTATTGATTATAATAATTGATCAAATTTACAAGTAACATTATATATTTTTCACTTGGGATTTTTTCTTATAGTGAGATATTACATGCTATGTATATAGAAATATTTTGTTATATTTAGGTTAAAAATACCTTTACGGCCTTTTCTACAGCAATAAAGTCTTAAAGATACGCTTCCACACATGAGGGAATGAGGCTCATGTTGTTGCTTGCTATCTGCAACCTTACCACTAGATGTCACTAAAGCACACACACTCCCTTTAAGCCAACAAAAAACATTTAACATCTGCATGACAAGATTCAGATGTTCAAGTGTATTTATTGGGAGGATAGAACAGGGTCAGCTCACATGTTTCAATCTTTGGTCCTAATACTTTTTCCAACAGAGCACTGCACATAGTGCCTAGTCATACTGCACCTTCATTTACACTGTCTAAGTTATGTTCTTATATGTACATATATATATCTTTTTTTTACTTGGATATAATCATATGTATATCTCTATTAAACAGTTGTTAAACGTTTATTCCTACACCGGTTTTTCTTTTTGTGTTTTCCCTGTTTTTTTTAAATCTTTTTCTTGCTTTTGTAAAAAGAATCTGCATGTACAGTATGTGGAGAGCAAAGGATAAACCAAGTCAAATGAAATGTAAGCATGAGCATACGTTAACAACAAAGCTGATTCTGTTTCCCCTTGTAAAACAAATCATTTTGAAGAAGAAAAACAGTTACAGCAGTTTCAAACAAGTGTATTGAAATTCCTGTAGCATCTTCTCCTGTTTTTAATTATAATTTTTCAAGACAAACTAGGTATTTTAGCGATGGACACCATTGAGGTCTTTAAAACACTCGTACAGCCTTCTCACAAAGAAGTAAATTGCATGGACCATCATTTTCATTCATTTTACCCTTTAAGAGTTAATTTCTTAGATGTACTGCAAGGTTGTGTTGCAAAACTATTATGCAAATACTACTTTGACTGATAAAGTCAAACTTTGCAAACGAGCCTAGTTTAAAGCACTGTGTTACTTGTGGAATTTAAGCCACATCATTTTCATTGTCGCCAACTTTTCAGTATAAAGTCCTTTAATTACTGAAAACAATAATTAACAACAATGTTGTGTAATCGTTCTTGTTTGTTATTCACTGGCAAACAAACTCTGTACCTTGATGGACAGATCATTTGCATGCAGACGTAACATTTTGGGACAATGTAAAGTGGAATAGGACCAGATCAGATATGTGGTTATTCTTCCGGGTCGAGGTGGAGGAGGAGGGAGGGATGATGCTGCCTCTGCGCGCTCCGCACATCGGCAGCGGAGCTTCAGTCAGACGGACCCGACCCCGGGGAAAGGCAGGAGCACGTCCGCCCGCGCAGCGTCTCCCCCGGCTGAACCTTCATCACATTCATGCCCTTTTCAAATGGATGTCACCAGTTGTTCCGCCGGTTGCCCCGGGACAGCGGTCCTGTAGCCGCGTTCAACGTGAGAAAACGGCTCATCCCGGGCTTGTTTTTTAATTTTTTTTAGGCTTGTCTCGACGGCACGGAGAGGACCACACTCCCCCCTTCTGCCCCCTCCAACCATTCACCATCGTTAGCACGCTAAGCTAGCTAGCCCGCTAACTTAGCTGCGATACTTTGCACCGTATCGGCGGTCAGTTGCATTTTCCTTGGAGCTAACTTGAGGTCTCCTGCGCCACAGCGGGGAATTGAGTCGCCCTGACACTCTAGGTAAGCAAATAATATACGCGAGAGGAGGGGAGCAACAACACGTTTTGTTGTTTTTTTTCTTCTCTCCAGACGAACTCTGAAACGGAGGCTCTTTTTAGCCGTTATCTGGTCGCGGCGGACCGGCGCTGTGGAAGCTTCTCGCTTCGTGTTGACAGAAGAAGCAGAAGCGGCGGCCGCGATGCGACTCGCCGTTAAACAGCACACATTTTTTAAACGCGACAGTGGCCGTTCACGTCTCGGCCCTGACGTGTGAATTTCAATAAAATATTGCCTGCTTTTTTTGATACTAATACTACAAATAATGTACGTTCTCGTAAATACTTTCTAGCCGTCGTGTGTCCGGGTTTCCTCCTGCCGGGGTCAGGTAACGGAAAACGTTATCTCCCCCTCGCCGCAGTCCATTTTTCCTAACGGGTCTCTCCAAACGACTGGCCTAATGACCGGGATACTGCTGCAGAAGCAAAGTAAAGCACCCCATGTTTAAATGTGCTTACTATAATATACCATATAATGGCTTCTATAGTATGTGTACTCCTTCTGGTCGACGGTTCCTCATTTATCTCTCCGTGAACCTCGCCGTGCTTCTGTGTTGCACCACGGCCGCGAAAAATGAGCCGTTCCGTGGGAATCGAACCCGCGGCTCGGTGCTCGTTGTGTCTCCCGTGCCCCGGTGGAGGTCAGATGATTTGGCTTAACTTGATGCATATAACGTTACAGGAGGTAAATAACCCGTAGCCGGATTGGACCGCCTTCCTTCTGTGTTGGGCTGCAGGTTTTGAGGCCCTCCGCCGTTGTTGAAAAGAGGTTAATCACATCGCATGTAATTCAATCCCTAAGAGAGCCTTTTATAGGGTTTTGGTTGAAGCATCCGGCGCCTGACGCGCGTGAAAAAAGGACTCATTGAGTGAATTAAATGGGGTGAGGATGAGCGCGCGTGAGTGAGCATGCATTAACAATGCTGTAATTATCTCAAGAGATAAGAAAAAGGGATTCACTATCAATCCTGCAAGAGTCTGCAGTTGCGGAGCAGATGAAGATCTCGGATTGTCAGGGACTCAATTAAATGAATCCATCATGTTCTTTAAAGGGAGGGAAAAGAGGAGCATGTATTATTTAACGTGTGTGTGTGTGTGTGTGTAGCTGCAGGGAAGCTGTTATAGCTTTGTGCTACCTGTAGAATTGATCCCATGCTGCCTGCACATGAGAATACTGTATGTACAGCTCCGCTATGTGAAAGGAGCACTGACTCTGAGGTCAACATTCTGCGAAAATAAGAGGGTTTAAGCCTTGAATTCTGCACTACATGTAATTGCAAGTTCTCATTTTGGTTGATGTTGACATTCAGGAGCTTGCCTCAGAGCCGTATGGCTAAACTTGCCCTCAGTGGGGTAACGCATGACTGTCCAGCATTCAAAGGAAATGATTCATGTTCCTCATTTCAAGGCCGTGCAGTAGGCATGTGTTTCCTGCCTTGTGTGTGTGTGTGTGTGTGTGTGTTGACTGTGTGTTCAGGCCTCAGCAGATGTGCCTGCTGTTGTATATGGATCCTACTCTCCTGATACTGGCGAGTGAAGATTTGATTTTTTTTTTGGTTTGGGACAATATTTAGGACATGGATTTAGTTAGAAGCAAGTTTTCTGACAGTGGCCAAATTACCTTGGCTCTCAGTCTAACAAATGTAAAAAAATACAAATGTTTGAGTACTTTGGTTACTGCTCATATAGAAGGCTCATGTACTATTGGATTGGTAATAATCATGATAATACTAAGCTTTGGAATGCTATTTGTTTAATGTGTACAAAACATTGTTAATAACACAAATAAGAGGCAAGATGTTTTTTGATTTCTGAGCGTTTTGCAACCATTTGTTAACCGTTGAAGTTCAACGTGACAGGTGCGGCGGTGAAAGTCCTCGATGTCCACTTTGTATGTTTGCATTGGTATTTGTGCGTGGATATGCTTGTCATAGACGCTAGCTGTGGTGCATTTATTGTCCCGAGCCCCTCCGGAAAAAACTGCTCCATTCTGGCCCACGTCTCCGGAGGGAGGCAGCAGCATGCGGCGATCCCGGGGCTCTGTGTGCCAGCGGGGCTTGCTTTGGGATTGGGTTTCCACCCGCCACCTGGAGCTCCGAGCACAGGAATGCCATTGTTCCTCCTTCCAGACTATCGCCGGATCAGACACGCATGCAAACACACACATACGCATAAGTAGACACGTGCATGCACACACCATCGACACACGGCATGCAAGAGGAGCTCCTATACCAGCTCGTCTGTCACCTTGGCTGTCATTGCTTACATGAATAGACAGTGAAACATCAAGCCTCTGCCCGCATAGCCGCTGAGACCTGGTTTGGGTTTTTATCTAACAACGCCGAAACATTTGTTGGCTGGATTAATTGTTTGACCATGGAGGACTAGTTTGTCGTTTAGTTCATTTATCCTGCAACATGGGCAAACTCTTATTCCAGTTTTTAATGAGTGATTTGCACCATTGTCAGTCATTTTCTGCACCACACAAAGTATCCATTTGACAAAAAAAATGATTGTCAGATTGATTGATCATGGATAAAAGAGATACTTGTAGACCAAAATGCAAACCGATCTAAAAATCAGTGATCTTGAAACGTTAAATGAATTGGTCTGCATATTGTCACAGAGACAGGAAATAGCATAGCGACACTTGTTCAGTTGTCTTCTAATGAAATCCCCTTCTCACATGAAGACGTCAAACAAACATCAGCTGTAGGATGTCTGATTACTCAGTTTTGTTTCCTCGGTTTTGCTTTTAATAATGGTGTGTGTCTGATCGCAGCATCAGACAGATTTATTTTCACGTTTCATCATTTGGTTTGAGCAATGTGGCAGTGCAGAAAAAAATCTGATTTGCCTCTTGTTATAATTAATAGATATTAGCTATTTCTTGTGTACATGGATGTTGTTTAAAGGTATTTTGCTGGTGTTTTTCAGCATTCATCAGAGATGGTTGGGGTGACAGAAACTGTGGGATTAGAGCATTTGAGAAAGCGATGAAGGTCTTTTGTCAAACTCTATGATTTATTTCTGCCGTCACCATTCATCATTGTTTAAATTGTAATGGTGATGGAGAATGTGCTGCACGCTTACCCAGTCTTTAAGAGGAAGAAATTGCCTTTTCAACTAGAAACTGGCAGGCTTGATTTAGTGCGCGCCTTCCGCAAACTCCACACTCCGGATGTTGATAGCTAGTTTAGCTTGATCAGATAGCAGAGACCGAATTGGTTCAACTTCAGACAAAGTGAGAGAAGGGAGAGGGATGAGAAAAGCGAGCGAGATAGCCATCAACAGCATTTAGCTGTTCTGCCTCTCGGTCCTCGAGGGTTTGCTGGCAGGCAATTTCAGTTGTGCGTGTGTTTGTTTGTGTGTGTAAGTGCCATGCACGTGTGTCCTCTGGCTTTTTCAGCCGGTCAAATTAAGAGATAAAGTTGCGCTGAAGAGGGTCAGCCAGGTCCACCAACGAGCCTTGCCAGCTCCCAACCAAAGGCCAACAAATAGGCATGAACCCGTAGCCGTGTGTTCAGTGCAGGTGTATGCATTGTCCGTTGGTATTGATCGGTGGTCTGTGTGTTTATGTGCAGTGAGATCTTTGCTGTTCTGTCATTCATTGAGGTACGTCCTCCCTTTGTACTGTACTTTGACTTACAAACAGCCAGGCTGGAAACTGAAATACTTTAAAGCCGTGATGAGCAGCAAGCCTAAGCTATGGCGCAGAGCGTGCAGACTGCAAAGGGCCTCTGCAGATGATTCAGAGCCTGTCACACGGTGTGTCTCAGCTGGATGGACTCAGTGTTTCTGCTGCCTTAATGATAAGGAAATAGGATTTAGCCCAGTACTCAGCAGTGGTTTACTTCTGCATTGGTTCTCCTCTGGCGAGAAAATGGCAAACTGTTTCTGTACTCACGTTGCTTGGCAGGCCCCTCCATTGTTAAATGGAGGTTATACGTAGACACTAAGCATAGTAAAAGACTGAAATATTGCCCGATCAGGGTGAGATCACTATTAACTACCTCCTTCCAATACAAATAAGAGCTGCTGCTCCAGATAAAGGGATTATCTGAATTTTATTATTGATAATGAGGTCTTCCGGGCATAATCTAAATCCATTTTGTTCCGACCCCGGCCAGGTATGCTTGGGTGTGAAAATGGGCCAGGCTTCAACTGGCGAGCAGCTAATACTATTCTGTAGATTTAGTATTTTAATGGCATCTTCCTCGGATATTTTGGATGCGCACCCACTCTCAATAAATGGATTTTTCGGGAGAACTAAAATCTCTGATTCATGGCTTTGGATTGGAACACATCAGTATTTTGTAGAAACAAGTCTAAACCTGCTGCTGAACTGCATTCCAACAAATGCATGACCGATGTTCTGCACCATAAACCATGACATGCTTCCCGATGTTATTGAGAACGGGGTAAAAACGTCGTCCGCATATGTAGGCTTTCTTATGTACAAGCTGTTTTTCTTTTGTTAGGAAAGGCTCAAAGGATATCGATGTGTGTAAAGGCCATGGGTATTGATGTCCCTACTTTCATTTATGTTCCGTCTACACCTGCAGATGTCAATGCAACATTGCTAGCTTGAACAAAATCCAATCCAACTTGGTATTGCAATTGACTTGTTGTCTTTGACTTGGGACTCCTTGTCATCCTATTACATGGTTGACTTGTTGACTTTATAAAGAGATGCCGTTCTTGGACGGTACAAAGCGGGACCTTGAACACCCGAACAGAGTAAAATAAAAAGGACCGCAACTGCTCAGTCGTGTAGGATTGAGTAACCGTATACACCGTTTTCAGCTTAGCTCCAACAATTCCCTTCTTTGTCAGGGTGCACTGATCAGGCCTCTTTATGTTGCTCACAGCATCTGTTCCACTCGATATGACCCAACAGGAAAATACGTAGTTTCCATGGCAACGGGACTGCCCCCCCCCTCCCAACCACCACCCCTTTCAGAC